ATGTACTATATATGCATAATCACTGCATAATCTGCAATAGCACAACTTATTTCAACTTTTCATATTTTCATGCACTTAATAATATTAACAACAAACAACATGTTAAAAACAGTTGACTAGGATGTCAAAGGTTAGGTGGATGCATTCTTTGGAGGGAACAAACCCAATAATTATTAAACCAACAATTTGTAACAATTATTTTATTAATTGACAACAATTATTTTATTATTAAATATTGATTATTTTAACAATTATTTTATTAATTTAATAACAATTATTTTATTAAAATATTGGTTATAATTATTATTATTATTATTTTTTTTTATTATTATTTTTTATTAATATTATCTAACGCCAGACAATTAATTACTCATCAGTGGTAGAGTACTGCCAGTAAATGGGTTAAAATGTTAAATATGAATTAAGTTGAAATCGGTTGTAATAACCAAGTGATTCATTAACCTATTAAGTTGCAAGACTCTCCTTGATGAGCAAAATCATCTAGCGTTAGAAAGAGTAAAAATTCATTGTGTTATCTGCTGCTGTTGGAAGATCCTTTTCCTTCAACATTTTACTAAAGATTTACTGTGTCATCTGCTGCTGTTGGAATTAAGTTCCTTTTCCTTGAACATTTTACTAAAGATTTGCTGTGTCATCTGCTGCTGTTGGAAATTCCTTTTCCTTGAACATTTTACTAAAAAATTACTGTGTTATTGTACATAATTTCTAGGGAAAATATAAGAAAAATTCAAATGTTGTATTTCCAAAAATATGCCTCAGACTTTGAAATTTTAAATTTGTGGACCAAGGGGGAGGGACAGCTTAACCAAGGCATACAAAAATTAGATGTACCGGGCGACAACATTTTCTGACGGGGGGGGGGGAAGTTCCCCGGCTCTGGCTAGGTTACTGTACAGTATTCTCTAAAGCAATAAAATATTATTAATATTTCTAACTAATAATTATTACTAATTATTAGTAAATATTTATTATTTTTGTTGCTCTATTAGTCAATTGCGCAAGGCAGATTAAAAGAGTGACTAACAGACTAAACAGTGATGGTGCGACCATAGTTGGGTTTCAATCTGAATCCTGTGACACTTTTATAAAATTTGGTGGTCAACTCCAAAAGGAAACACATTGAGTTCATTATTCATAAAATTATATTAATTCACCTTGTATTCAATAGCAAGTACAGAACATTTAACAAAATTTGCTCGCTTCAACAAGGCATATAAGCGACAAACGTGCAAAGTTATGGCTATGCCACATGTGGGCTAATACAGGGTGTATCAAAAAAAGCGCAATCCTCGACTGAAATGTAAATTGCTAAACAAATAATAGACGAAAACGTTAAAGTTTACATTCATTTTAAAGCGTAGCCATTCAGCTTTCTAACAGTGGGTTGTTTCTTAAATTTGACTCATTGGTTCGTGGGTAATAATACTTTACGTTATTGCGATTGGAGATTAAAAAAATTGAGATGGAATAACAAATCGTTCTCATGAAAATAACTGTTTTTTCATTAAAACAAAAAAAATGTTGCATTTTATTAAATGGATTGTAACAATAAGTATAATTACGGCTTTTCTTCCACTATTTTTAACTCAGTTTGAAACTTCAAATGCGATATAATTTTGGCTTGGACCATCTAAGCTGACTGACATCAACTTGCTACAATTTCTGTTTACATTATGCACCTATCAATGTTAACCCCGAGGGGGCGGGGGGCGGGCAAAGGGTGGGGATTTGATCAATCAGGTGGTCCCATGGGTCGGGATTTGGACTGACACTTTTTTTCTAAGTGGCCCGGGGGTGGGGATTTTTGACAGATTAACACTGATCTCAGACGATATACTGAAGAAACCTGAGCCAATTTTAGAACAAACTCTGACTCGTCCCCAGTCGCCCGCTGTAAAAAGGGACTGTGGAAGAGTCAGGAACAAACTGAAGACTGGGCACTAGTTTATCGCTCGCTGTCTTGCGCGTTGTTTTTACAAGAAATATGGAGATTTCTGGACAAGAAATAAACACTTATAATCCATTTTATAATTATATTAATATCGATTTATACTTATATGTTAAAAGTTCACATTATGTACTATTTAAAACACGAGTACGAGTGTGTTTTATCATATATAAAACGCGAGGCGCACAACTTAAAATACGACTACAAAAGAATACTAATTGGGGCGAACAATTATATAAGAATACTGACAATATAATTATATAAGAATACTGTGTTTTATTAGCCTGCGTTCCAGTCCACTACACCGTGGTGTAGCGGACTGGAACACAGGCTTGTGTTTTATCAGATATTATAAACTCACTTCACGTGACATAATATGGCTGACATGATTTGCCGCAAGGTATATGAATTATTAATGAGTATTTTAAGTTATTTTGAAACGTTCTTTATATTTGTTATACTTTTAAATTATACCGCCAAATGTAGTTGTGTAATTTCCTTATCACCTGACATATAGATTATAGAGTGCACCAGAAACCAAATACCTCAGGAATACAATTTCATCCCGGGGGTGGGGAATTTTGCCCAGGAATTTTCTCCCGAGGGAGTGGCATTTGACATTTTTTTTTTGTAAAAATGTCAAATCCCCACCCCTTGCCCGACCCCCCCCTCCCTCGGGGTTAACATTGATAGGTGCATTACATCGCAATTCGATGACACTCTGGCTCAGACACCAGAATGTTTTGACGATTTTTAGCATTCGTTTAGGATTTTCAAACAACCTGGTCTCTTTTAAAATACTTTTAATTTGTTCTTACGTGGTTTTCAGATGTAGTGACGACAACATTAAAGTTTAAAGAAGAAAATTCTATCATTTAAACCGACTAAACAATAACATAGTAAACTTGCATAATTAAACAGCAACTAAAAATGATAGGTTTTACTAAATCTTTTCCTGTGCAATTATTACTAGCATTGGAGACAAGGATAATAGTTTGTTTGAAAGAGAAAAGAACAGGCTTTGAAGTAAGCCTAAAAGCGTTTAACTAGAAATAATATTTCGAAAGTTATTAAGCACAAAAGATGAATTGCGTTTATTTTGATACACCCTGTCTATCTATCTATCTATCTATATATATATATATATATATATATATATATATATATATATATATATATATATATATATATATATATATATATAGTTGAACTCCTAGAGTTGAAATGTTTCGAGTCGAAAGATCAAATGAGTTCCACAGCAGTGCTGCATGATTAAAAAAGGATCGCTTAGCTAGCTTTCGATGTTTCACATCGTAATATGTTTAAGTCACTTGCTTGCCTAGTAAAGTGATTATGAACTTGCGAACGGATTACTAGCTTGGAACTAAGGCAGGCAGGTGCAAGACCATGAACTATTTTATACATCATAATAGCATTACGGTACAATAGAGAGTCGTTAACTGACAACCATCCCAGCTTATCTATAGCCGGGGTGATGTGATCATACTTTCTAGTTCCGGTTACGATTCGTGCTGCAAAGTTCTGTACTTGTTGTAGTTTCTTAACGTTCTTTTGGGTGGTGCCAGACCAAACCGTGGAGCAATAATAAAGTTTGCTAAATACTAGGCAGTTTATCATGACCAACAAGGCATTCTTGTTGAACAAGTGTCGAACTCTGTTGATTTGACACAGACTTGATGTTAGGGTCGACGTCAATGAATTGATATGATCGTCAAATATCAGAGTGGCATGTAAAGTGAGACTAAGGTCTTTACAAACTGCGCCAGGTGTTAATATTTTTCCTAGAAAAGTAATTGATAAGTTTGGCAGGTTCTTTATCGATTTCTCCATTCCAAATATCGGGGATTTATTAGAAGCTTATTAGAACAACACCATTCTGCTATATTTCTGAGATCTTGGGAAAGGCTTAACAGGCCAAGGTTGGCTTCTGATAAGGAAAATGATATAAACGTCTTTGTGTCGTCAACATATGATTCTACGTCACAATTCGAAACAACTTTGGATAAATCGTTCATGTTTATTGTAAACAGCAGTGGACCCAAGATGGAGCCTTGTGGGACTCCATGTTTCACCAATAAAGGAGTTGATGTAGATTGACCAGTGCGTGTGACTTGATATCTATCGGATAGATAACTCTGAAACCAATCAACGCTAGAGGAAGAAGCGCCTACATTTTAGAGCTTTTGGAGTAGTCTTTCATGTCAAATGCTATCAAAGGCTTTCCTCAGGTCTATTAAAACCATTGCTGTAATCTTTTTTTCGTCCATTGCTCTAAAAATGTGGTCAGTGATAAGTAGGCTATTGGTTTCAGTGGAGTGTAACTTTCTATTTCCACTTTGATGGTTGGTTAGTCTCTGCTTTTCAACTAAGTATTCTGTAAACTGGATCAGAGCCAAGCGTTCAGCGATTTTGGAAAGTACTGGTAGTAGAGAAATATGCCTGTTATTATCAGCCTCTTCATGGTCGCCTTCCTTGAGGTGGGGTATCACTACCGCTTTTTCCATTCACGTGGAAATGTGCTACTCTCGAAGGATAGATTTATCAGCGTGGTGACAGTATCCGAAATTTCAGGGAGACAGTTCTTAATTACTTTAACTGGGACTTTATCATATCCCGGTGCTTTGTTGTTGGGCATTGACAGGATAACTTTATTTATCTCCTCACATGTTACTGGTCTGAAATAAAATAACTCATCTTCAGGATATCGCACGGGGAGAACTGATTCTGATACTTGTAGCCCATGTTCTACAGCAAGCTTTCTTGAAGATGTAGCAGCTTGTTGCCCAACGGATGTAAAAAATACATTAAATTGATTAGATAAGGATACTGTATCTTTGATATAGGTCAACTGCTGGCTAGGTGATTTTGGTATTGCACGACGGATTGTTTTCCAAATTGCACCGCGGCAATTTTTATTAGAGAGAATTTCTTTATTGAAATAATCTGTTTCCGCTTGTCTGATGGCACATTTGATCCTCCGTTTTAATGATTTAAAAGCATTCCAATTCTCTAATGTCCCAGTAGCTCTTGCTATTTGACAAATTTGGGATTTGTTTCGTATTGACGACCTTAACTCCCTATTGATGAATGGTTTTGGGTTATATTTAAGTTTAATGACTTTCTCGGGGGCGTGTTTATCTAAGCATGTCAGGAACAAAGCGTTAAAGGCGGCTAGTCGGTCGTCAACAGAATCTTGTAGATTTATTACGTCCCACGGTATCATCGAAATGTCACGTGAGAAACCTGTAGGGTTAAAAGATTTAAAACTACGAGTCACAATGGTTTGTATAGCTGGTTTTGTCACTTTTAAATTCAAGCCGCATAGATTAAGAAATGGTCGCTAATTGTGGTTTCATAAACTCCGCTTGACTTAACGAGGTTACGATTGGAAACAAATAAAACGTCGATCAATGTTGATGAGTTAGAAATAACTCTAGTGGGATCTTTTATCAGTTGTGTTGCGCCAACGCAACATGCAAATGAAAGTTGGGCTTCCGAGCTGGGATTTTCAGATAGAAGGTCGCAATTGAGGTCTCCAGCTAGCACAACGTCTTTACCTGATGATAATACTTCGGTATATCGAGGCATAAGGTAATTGTCAATGAAACTAAGAGGACAATCCGGCGGCCTGTATAATACGCCAATGATGAAAGACTTTCATTTATTATTTTGAACATTTAACCAAAGCTGGTGAAAGCCAGAGGTCGTCATCTCGCTGATGTTTTTTAGGATCGTAGCTTTGAGGTTATTTCTGATATATGCACATACTCCGCCTCCGACTTTTCGTAAACGGTCTAATCTAGGCTATAAAGCTTGTATTCGTCTAAGGCAACTGAGGCGTTCGAAACTGATGAATTAAACCAGGTTTCCGAAATCGTTAAAATATCAAAGTCCTTTTCAGACACCATTTCTGTCAGTTCGTGAAAACGAGTCCTGTTCTTTAAGGACTGCGCGTTGTGGTGAGCAATTCTTAAGGATTTATTGAGATTTTTATACTGTCCGGTGCAATTTGATTGACTAACAAACGAATTTTGGCTATACTGACGATTTATGCTAATATTAACACAGTTTAATGGAACTCGCTGTCTTTGGTTAGTTCTACTATTTAAACGGTGGTCAATTTTACTGCGATCGATGGACATTACAGCAGTGTTAAATGTGGCAGACGAATTTGAATAGTAGGACACGCGATTATTTTGCCATTTTCGCTTATAAACATAACCGTGTGTTGTAATCCTTTGCCAATAAATGGGATTTTAAATTAATACCCTCCGGCCGGGTTGCCTAACTTGCCATTTACATAGGATCTTCTTACGAATCTTCGTGTCGTATCGCGTATATATATCGTATATATATATATATATATATATATATATATATATATATATATATATATATATATATATATATATATATATATATATATATATATATATAGCTCATCATTGGTGCACTGTGCTGATGAGCCCCAAAAAGGGCGAAACAGCTGTCCACAGTTGCCGTTGTTTGAGCTTTCCTTGAAGGGCGCTACAATGTCTTTACTTATGTGCTTTATCGCCGTTTTTAAACTGTGAAATGCAGTGAGCGTGCGCATAAAGGCTTAGGCATAATGTGTAGTATATAAAGTTCTGTAGGGTCCCACATCCACCACACTGTCTTCTATAGTATATATATTCTTGGTATGTGGAAGCTCATCATCGGTGCACTGTGCTGATGAGCCCCAAAAAGGGCGAAACAGCTGTCCACAGTTGCCGTTGTTTGAGCTTTCCTTGAAGGGCGTTACAATGTCTTTACTTATGTGCTTTATCGCCGTTTTTAAACTGTGAAATGCAGTGAGCGTGCGCATAAAGGCTTAGGCATAATGTGTAGTATATAAAGTTCTGTAGTGTCCCACATGCACCACACTGTCTTCTATAGTATATATATATATATATATATATATATATATATATATATATATATATATATATATATATATATATATATATATATATATATATATATATATATATATATATATATATATATATATACATGTAGAGTATATTCTTTCTCTCTTTTAACAGGTCCTGCTGTACGTATAGATTTAGTCGTAACTGAAAATGCGATGTAAGTGTTTAAATTAAAGCACCAATTATATTGGAAAAAGAACAGCAGCTAGGTTTCAGCTGGAGTTAGTTGATTGATCACGTTTCAGCGTTTGTTGGTTCCTAACCAAAATCAAAACACCAAATCTAATCCACCATACAAACAACAAAACAAAAGTGGAACGAGGCTAGCTATAGCAATAGTTCATGATATGCAATTGGATTCTTCTGAGCTCAATATGGCAAAATATTAAGTCGAGACTTATTAATATTGGGCGAGACCGAAGGACGAGCCTAATATTGAAGTCGTTTTTAATTACTCGCTGAGGCACTCATTCCCGGGCGGGTATAGGCTTCGGTACACATTTTTAGTGGATTTCCAATAGTGGATTTCCAATAGTGGATCTCTAATTTTCTTGGATAGTCACAAAATAGATTATTAATGGGCTACTCAATTTATCCTTTTCAAAATGGCGGCCTTTCGTGGAGTTGGCAAAGTGTTTCAAACAATTTCGTTAAAATTTTCAACGAATTGTACCTGTTTTCTACGGATTTTGCATTGTGTGTAACTCTGGACATTCTTGCTAGTTTAGTTAATGCATTTTTCTTGGGGCACGACTCTGAAAATCCGAAATTAGGATGGTTGAATTCCCGTGCACGATCATAATATACTGAATCTGAATATAAACGAGCCAAAGACAATTTAAAGTTAAAAGGTTATAACTGAAACTACAGAACGTAGTTTCAATAGATAACTATTTGATTTGAAGCATATTGGTGTCATGTCAACATAAAATTTATCCAACAACAGTCCGTAAGGCCTAATACTATAGTTAGCTGTGAACGTAAACTGTAGTGTGAAATATAATATTGTATTTGCAATGCCTAATGTAATGGCGCAGTAAGGATAAAAATACCACCGTTCGATTCAGTGTAAGAAATTGTACTTACGGATGTCAAATGTATTACCAAACAACAATATTCTAGAGACGTATGGCTTTTGAAAATCAAGCGAAATTGTATTGTTGAATGCTGACAAATCGCTCGCAGTACGTACAAACGTACTGCGAGTGATTTGTCAACAATCCTTGTACTTGTAAGTTGTAATGCCTAATGGCGCAATAAGGATAA